CGGGGGAGAGCTACAGGAGGGCAGGGCAGCAAGCTATGAGGGGGGGCGGGGGAAGCTACAGGAGGGCGGGGCAGTGGGCAGAGAGCTACTGGAGGGCGGCAGCAAGCTACTGGTGCACAAATTCGTGCACAGGGCTACTAGTAAACATAAAGAGCTAAATTAATTTTCTATTAATGTGGGTTAGACTTTGCTTGACAAGCTTACATTTTCTTTGCAAATAATAGAGCTGACAAAAAAAGGTTCATTTTTTATCAACTTTAGACAGTTGCTTGAATGTATAAAGCTGGAATGGACTTTCCTCAACATGTCTGAACATACAGTTAAGGGAATCCATTTAGTGAACAATTTCAGCTACAATGGAGGAGTTCTATAATTAGTGAACATGTATCACAAGAAATCAGGGTAACTTCTTCAGCTTCATCCTTGGAAACACTGTATTTTCCACCACAACGGCAACTCAGAGAGTAAGAGTGATCATCTGCAGAGAAAACAAAACAACGCTTGAAATGCTTACAAGTAACTACACCGACACCACACACATACACACACACACACACACACACACACACACACAATGTGGTTTATTCCACAGAAACTGAAAAAAGAAATAAGTTCAGTAAATGTAAAATGTATTAAATGAGAACTTGAAAATATTTCATATATAGGCAGGAGCAGTGTTTCTAAAAAATTATCCACCAAAGAATCTCTGTAAAGGAGACAGACTAAAGCTATAAATCAGTAGTCCAAAGATCTTGGGGTGACAGCAAATGCTCTGAAGCAACCCAGAAAATTTATTTGAAGTCTGTTTTCTTAAGATTCATACACATTTCACATTCTTCTCAACAATGCGTTTGTCCAAAATAGGACTGTAAAGGAAAAACAACTTTACCTGTCTTATTAAAGAACTTTCTTTTGCCTGGAGTATATATATCCTTTAAGAAAAAACTGCTAATTTGACTGTTTATCAAATTCAATAATTGAATATATCTGTTCTGGTATCATACTATTTTAAGAGTCCTGACTCAAATATATAAACACACACTATGGTGTGTTTTTTCTGTGTGTGTACCTGTTTGTTTGGTGTCTACAAATGATTTGTGAACCAAAGGGCAATCATTGAAGTGAGATGCCCAAAGGAAACAACATTGTGTGATGTGTAGCCTACGGAAATTTTATCATGTCTGTCATTTTCCTGAGAAGCTGAAATGCTTATGTCCTTTAAAAAAATTCTTAATTTACTGGACATTCGATTTAACTGTCACTGAGACGTGATTGTCAAAGAAAAACAATTATCACATTATTTTACTACTGTCATAATTTGTTAGATAGATAAATCAACTAAGTTATGATTTCTTACATCCAGTATGTTCATTCAGTTCTCAAATTTCATTTTTTAACAGTTTGATATCAACATATGCCACTAAAAGAAGAGAAAGAGAGAGAAGGAAACGAAAAAAATAACTGCCTTGTTTTTGTTCTCTAATGAAGTCTGGCCTTGAAAAACCTAGTAATTAAATGAACCAACTTTATGTGTTTCTTTTATCATAAAGGAAAACATGGATTCATTCACCAGTCCTGCTTTTTATTTTTTACTACAATGAGTCTTTCCCCCATAGGGAAATATAATCTGGAATTTTAAAATGCTAACATCCTCCCTGTCTGAGCCAACATACATATGTAGTGGAGCATGCTTTCACAGTGAATTGTTTTATTATTAAACTAGAGGCCTAGTACATGAAATCTGTGCACAGAGGGGGTGTTCCCTCAGCCCACCCTGCACCCACTGCAATCGGGGACCCCTCTCACAATCTGGGACCGCTGGCTCCTAACCACTCACCTGCCTTCCTGCCTGATTGCCCCTAACTGCCTCTGCCTGCCTGTCTGATTGTCCCTAACTGCCCTCCCCTGCTCGCCTGATCTTGCCCCCAACTGCTTTCCCTTGCCGACCTGATCTTGCATCCAACTGCCCTCCCCTGCCAGCCTGGTTGCCCCAAACTGCCCTCCCCTGCTGGCCTGATCACCCCCAACTGTCCTCCCCTGTTGGCCTGATCTTGCCCCCAACTGTCCTCTGCTGGCCAATTTAGTTCTGACTGGTCAGTTTCTATGCCAGTCAGCGTCAAAAGCTCCATCTCCTAGGCAGCCATTGGCTCCCTCCATTCACCCGTATTTGGTTCTGATTGGTCAGTTTTTATGCCAGTCAGCATCTCTGGGCCTATCAACAGGGGCTGACCAGAAAGGCGGGGCTGATCAGCAGCCCCAGTCTGATATGCAGGATGGTCTTAGGCGCCCCCTGTGAAAGGGTCATTCAACCGCCAAAGGGGTCACGACCCACAGGTTGAGAACCGCTGCCCTAGGCAGTCAGTGCTGGATCTGGGCGCCGGCAGTGGGTCCGGCCTAGCAACCCAGCACTGACTTCCAGTCTGGTCGAGCCTTCGGTCGTAACAGTAGTTACAACCCTGGCTCTTTATTATATAGACTGTGTAAAAATGCACACATTCTCGCCATTAGATTTCTTAAGCTACATTTCCCCCTGTTTTTTTTTGTTTGTTTTTTTGTTTGTTTGTTTTACCACCTCAGTGAACAATGAGAAACAATTTGAGGTGATGTGCTCAGTAAATGATGCAGAGGCCACCATGGGAAATACTGTGGAGTTTTGTCATAGATGATTCTAAATGTTAATCTCACTAAACACTCAAATCTTGTCAAATTTCTCCTAATATGATTCTTCTATCACTTAAC